TATATAAATTATATATATATATAAAATATTAAATGGTAAGTCAAACCTTTTTCCTTGAGAAGAATATTCGAAAGTTTCGAAGAATCGCTCGAGTTTCATATTTACATCAGATCATGTTTACATTTTGGACTACTTATGGAGAATTCTGCGCGTCGAGGTTTCCTGGAAAAGGTTGGGCGCGACATTTCGCGTACTCGGTGTGCTCCCCTCCACTCGGTTCCTAAAATTTTCCAATCTTCTCAGTTGCATCGTATTAGCATTATTTGAAGGACGTATTTTATTCGCTCCGTAATTTTGTGAATTTTTATCCATCGAAAGTATACTTTGCAAACGAGTATCGGAGGTATCAAATATGTATAACTGATTGATAAAGTTGTATCAGTGCATCTATTAATCTGGAGGAACACGATTAATACGTTTTATCAATATTTTAAACAATTTCGTCAAACCTTTGTCGGGACAATATCGCGCGTGCCATCCACAATCCGCAGTATCGAGGAACATTAACAGAAACATCGAAGAATCATCGCGATGGAACGAAGTGGGTAATACCATTATGCCGACAATTTTCTATGTATGGTGTGAAATAAGACGCGTGATGTGACGTCATGATTTTGGCAAATGGCCGACTGGCTCGTGTCGAGCGTCCCGATCGAATCGCGATCGCTCCATGTTCTCGCGTGTTTCTTACTCGTTTCGGTTGAACTCTGCCTATGAACAAGTGTCGAAACGTTATTGAATCTTATAACGAATAATAATTTCCGAGTATTTATCGACCCGTACGAGATCATTGCTTTTCGCAACGTTTGAAATCGTACATTGACCGTGCATTGTCGCGTATTGTCGCGGGATTCTATTATTCGATATGTCTCTTTCGCGCATATTTAGTGCTATTCGAACAAGCATATACTATTAACGATGCAGCATCGAGGAACATTAATGGGAAGATCGAGGAATCATTACGATGGAATTCAACAAAGTGGGCGAGTCCACTTTCTTGAGATTTTAGAGGTAATAATGTGAAATTAACGCACGAACGTGACGTCACGATTTCAGCTAATAGCCGACTAGTTCGCATCGAGCGTCCCGGTCTCGCGGTCGAGTTGTAATTGCTCCGTACTCTCGCGTGCTTTTTACGCGTGTTTTTCAGTTGAATTTCGCATATACTGTCGGAAATATTGATCTCATAACGTATAATCATTTCGAAGTATTTATCGATCCATGAGAGAGATCATTGCTTTTCGCAGCGAAATCAGGATTTATTGGTTGTGTTTTGTCGCGAAACTTCGTTATTTGAAACGTCTCTTTCGGACATACTTTGCACTATTTGCTAGTCGGAAAAACATTGCGTATGCCATCAATGATGTAGCATCAAGGAACATTAATGAGAAGATCGAGAAATCATTGCGATGGATTTCAACAAAGTGGGCGAGTCCATTTTTTGAAATTTTAGCTAGGTAATGGTGTGAAATTAAACGCACGAGCGTGACGTCACGATTTTGGTTAACGAATAGTTCGAATGGTGGCGCAGCCGAATCATGAAAATTTTTTTCTTTATTTTCGCATTTTTTTTTATCCATCGCCGATGAATTCCGCATACAAACGAGTGTTTACGTGTTTTTTTTATTTACGTGTGCATAAGCGGCGTCGACATAACCTATCTGTCGGAACATTTTGTGGAACGGATTTCGAAAGTTTCGCGGAACGCGAGTGAATAAGTGATGTGTATAGTAATCAAGAATGCCATTGGACATATTTACGAGAGAACAGCCAGAAGCAGAAAGGAGCAATACGGCGGCAGAAAGGACTATGATGTACAGCGCGGCAGAAAGGATTATGATATGCAGCAGCAGTGCATCGACTGGTGAGTCGTTTATTACATTTGCATGATTGTTGATCTATCTGTTCGCGAATGAAAGCGACTAACCAAGTGAATGCCGCGCGATTATTGCAAAAGAAATAGCATACATAATCGCCTTCGTCCATATCAATTCAACGTTTGTTTATTCACATATAGAAGCATACCAAATTTAAACTTGTTAGTCGAATTATAAAAATAAAACTTTTATATTGTGTGTGTGATCTGCTGTGTAATATGCATTTGTATTTCTACACATAACAAATTTATAATATTTTAATTAGAAATAAATGATATTTAAATAAATGTTTTTTTATAATGCCGCACAAAGCCTGTTGATATCAGTAATGTGATATGTACTTTGTTTAATTTATATTTAAATTCAATTCTTGCAACAAAGGGTATTTCAGTGTTTCTCAATACGTTTGTATCTAATTGATAAATGATTGAATAGCGAATTTTTGTCAAGTCTATTAAAAATATCAAGCAAGTTTTAATATTATAAATTTTTTATTTTTTATATTTGTTAAGATAGAAGGAAAAAAACCAAGAGGCAAGTCCCCAACACGGTTGGCGGACCAGACAAAATTAATAATAAATAAGAAACCACTACATCCTTTCGAGGATAAAAGATGGAGGAGGAAGATATTTATTGCATATATAATCGAACATGTTCGATTGCTTTAGATTTAATCAGCTGTAATATTTTTTAAATCACTTTATTGTAGCATTTTTAATAGAGTAATAAACTGATATAATATTGCTGTATTACACTATAACTGGCGCTCTGCAATCAGTCGTATTTTTAGATGAAAATTTAACTATGCTAAAATTTTTAAACTTTTTTTAATAGACTATTATGGATAAATACATATATTCTTTTTTAAAGACTACACTTGACATACTTTTTTGTATTATTAACAAATGATAAAAAGTGAAAGTTTAGCATTCTAAATTATAGATTAGAATAAGTAGATTTTTTATAAGCACGTATTACATTACAACTAGTCTGTCTTATAAGATTTTTCTCTTTTTAGTTGTTTTTAAATGAGCAATAAATTTAACACAATCTTGATAAAGATTGTAGATACAATGCTAAGTATATTCCTCGCCACGATATATGATAATGATAGCAATAAATTGTTCTCTTGATCATTTCGTCACAAAAAGTGGCATAAATTAATATTTATGGAAAAATAAATTGACATTATTTATGATCAATCATAAGTTAAACGATATTGCATTATTTTGCAAGAGTTTACTTACCTTTTGATATTTCTGAGAATTTTTTAAATTCAATATGAATGATCTAAAATAGGTAACTGCAGCAGGCAATTTGAACACATTAATATTTTGACTCCCCAATTCTCTCTGGTTATCACCAGCCATTAGGACAGCAGACCACACAGGATACACTATGAACCATACCTAATTTCATTTCGATTGAATTGTACCATGACGCGCAATGTGTCAAAAAGATAACGGTAGCCCGCGGCAGGAACTCGCAACAATGGTAATTCACTGTAATAACTCATTCGCGTACAGAAAGACTTCAAATAGTCGCGTCAACGCGCGACCGCATGATCTTCGGTAAGCCCAGTATCCTTGCGTGCCATTACTGCGATGTAAAATTATTTTACACGGTTTTTCTTTAAAATAGAAAAAAAATGGATATTAAAAAAAATACCCCTTAATGCCGAGTTAATTACTCACTGGAGAATAAGTATTTGTTCATAAACGTAACAGTACATTTCATCGTGTTAATTTTCCGCTAAACTTTGCGTTGAATCGAGCGGGGTATAGAAACACGATAAAATGCAAATTGCAATGGAGTATTATGTCATAATGACCTACATTGCCTAGTCTTTCTTGAGTCACGTTGACATTTGTCACCTAACTATCCATAGAAATAATATGTATAATAGCGCGGTACTTTGTCGGCGTGACAAGCGATACGTCGATATCGAACGATAGTTCAGTACATCGTAATATAATGAATTCCGTAAATGTGCAATGCGGAGGCGTGGGTTTAGGCGCGTATCCTTAAAACGCGTGAAACGCGAAAAGGAACGGACGCGTGGGTCGAACGAGGGATCGGAGGAGGGGAAACGAGATTCGCGGTTTCGATTCGACGAAGACGACGGGAAGGACGCGATCCTGACCACCGCGGTGGGTTACTCTCGATCGTAAAATAACCGAGGCGCAGAAACCCGACGAAACGTGCAATTGAAGTGTCGAGCCGAGCCGTGATTACCGTCATCAGCGAAGTTCAAATACCGGTGTAAACGCTTCGCACTTTCGAGTCGCTCGGATATGCGATTGTACGAGATCGTGAGCGCGGCTTCGCACTTTGATCGAGGACCCGTATTACGATGAATCGCGGCGCGATCTCCGTGAGCTGGCACGAGGAGAAATTGAAATCGTTTTGCAAAATCGTTCGCCTCGTTCGCTAAAAGTCGATGTCATAGAAATAATACACTTCAATTTTGTACATATTTTATTGCATAGCAATCGGAAGTAAGAAAAATCGAAATTCTTTCTCGAATTGCACTGTTTTTCATTTTTCAACTTGTTGCGAATAAACTTTCTTTTAACTGTAATACAAGCTACTTAAAATGCGATCGAAATGACACGGTAGATTGCAATTTCGGTTATTTCGGTCATCACATTGCTCAATAAATTGCCCTTTGATTACTTCATATATGCACATGTCTCTCTACCATGCAATTTGAATTATAATTACTGCAATACGACAGTTGAATTCAGTTGGAAATAATATAACAAATCATAACGTTTAATAAATCGTAGTTATATCTTAAGAGAGGAGTGTGTGTGTGTGTGTGCACTAAATAATATATAAAATTCTTCGTTTATATCAAGCAAATAAATCATGTCTTTTACAATAAATTGCCTTGCGGTTACGCTACAAACGCTGAAAGACGCAATTGGCGTCACGTGACTGCCAATTTTCTCTTACGCTTTATTTTTAACGTGATATCTATAGTTCGATACGAATATCTCTCTAGATATCTGCTTACGGTGTGTAATGGGAGCTGTTCGGCCCGTGCCTATCGCCATAAATTGCACACTTAATCGCACAACTTAATTCTCCATTTACTTTAGCGTAATGACGACGATAGCGAACGGAAGCGATAAGCTCGTCGTTACTTTGTTACGCAAACGAGTTCTGCACGACGATATAATTAATATTCAATACATGTTTTCTCAATAATATAAATAACTTTCTTGCATAAGCATTCTTCATCGCTTGCACTTATAACATACTTCATAATCTCTGTCAAATGTAATCATGTATGACTCATGCTTATTCTCTTTTATTGCTTTTATTTGCTGATCTGAAAAATGCATCGGTATATTGTGAAGTATTCGCCGCTCGTATTTATGAAATTTTATGGTCAATAAACAACTTGTTATACTGAAGCGATACTAACTATGCCATCTTGTGTTGCATCATGCAGGCACCGTGCAATCGCATTCACGCGATGTGGCGGCATCTGCACGAATCAGACGAAAACACTTGCGATCTTGCTTCCAGGAAAAATATTGACCACTTCTTTTCATATCAATAACTCATTATTAGTGCATTTCGCTTGATATTTATTTTTACATAAACTTCAGGATGAAATATAAATTATTTCTTTTCATAAACTTACTCTTAAACTTACTCTTATCTACCAGCTGTACTATCAATTAATATAATTTATCGATTTTTCAATCAACATTTATTGATACAAAATTATTTGTCAACTAAAGTCTGAAAAAATAATTTATTTGATTAAATATGTTTACATAAGTTTCTAATTATGGTAATATAACTAAGAACGGTCTTAATTGTACATGCGGACACATCAAAGGCATCTCGCGAAACATTAACGAACCATCCTTTTGTACTCAAAATGAAAGAGGCGCCAGAAAAATAGTAGTTGCGAACGATCAATCACAGGCACTCAAATGTCTTTGATTCGCGAGGTCCTTTTATCGTCGCAACATCTCTCTTCGCAACGATTTAACTTCGTCGAGAGTGCTTTGATTAATTTGCATGATCTACGATCCCGAACGCGAATGTACTCAGCTCTCAATTATTCACCTAAGTCGTTCGCGACGCGATCCCCCTCCCCCCCTCGCCAGGCGTCGTTGTCTCTCAAGACGATTCACACGGAGCACGCAATTAACGTCCGCAAGCTGCTTAATAATATAACGGTCAATTTGCCGCGATTAGTCGGCGTAATGATAGCTCCTTCGGATAATTTATTGTTAATTATTCTCGGCCACGCGGCGTGCTCTCGCATACGTATATGTCCGTCAGGCGCCGACAACTAAATTGACAACTAATTGAAATATTGCTCCCGCCCGTAATCAGAGGAAAAATTATCTCACCGCCGCGGTAATGTTAGAGCTCGCGCAAGTACTTAAACTTCCCCTTCCCTCTCCTCTCCACCGTATCTGTTCTCTCCTTGCCCTCTCTCATCGCTCAATCGCTGCCTTCATAGGACGAATAGGTTCTTTTCGCGGATGCCTCGTATTACACGGCAATTAGTTTATCTGGTCGATCGTCGTTTCTGGCAATTTGTCGCGAGCGTTAATTGTTATAAAAGTTAGTGCCCGGTTAATGGAAAAATTGCGGTTCTTTAATCGCGATTCAATTATAGATTCGATCTTGCGCGATCCGGAATCTCTACAGAAGCACTGAATAATGTGCTTTAATAACCACTTTGGCAGCTTTAGGCTGTGTGACTGTTTCAATTTTTTATATCGAAAATTACGAAGTAGAGAAAGTCGGTATCTAACGGAAGCTATTATAATATATTCAGGTGGAAACATCACTTTTAAAAACTATTTATGTTATTTTAAATCAAACATTTATTAGCAATCTAATTTCCATAATATATCAGATTTTTAATTGCGATCAGAAATAATTACGCAAATCTATTGTCTGGGATATCTTTCACGTTCTCATATTTACGATTCTTTACATCTAATCATCT